CTGCGAGTGCCTGCTCAAGGTTTGAGGGATCAAATGTTAAGCCATGGTTAAAACTGAGGCCAAAAATAGGTGTAACAGCTCATCAATAAGAGGACAAAGAAGGGTCCTCACTAAAAACAGTTTGATGCAAGTACAGGTCCCAATTCGCTCGTTCAAATTGCCAATGTGGGCTTCAAGGAGGGTAAGAATATGAATAGGAAGTAAGGAGGATAGGAAAATGATCACTGTCACATAAATCTGGAAGCAGAGACCAGATAAAGTCAAGTGCGGTTGACAAGGAGCAAACAGAGATCAATGCAAGAGAGGGAGAGACTGAGTGTTAGGGTCAAAATGTGTGAGAGTACCTGTATTTACAACATGGAGGAGAAGAGAAGTGAGAAGAGCCTCTAAGTGATCACCACAGGAATCACAGTAAGCCCCCCCCCCCCAGCAGTGGCGGCTCGTGTATAGACACTGCGGAACTGCAGCACCCGCTATTTTCACTTGAGTCGATATTATCGATAACATTCAATATAATGAGTCTTTTTTTCTTAAATTCTTTCTTTATACTTGTAGTACAAGTATAAAGAAAGAATTAAAGAAAAAAAAAGACTCATTATATTGAATGTTATCGATAATATCGAGTAAAAATAGGGGGTGCTGCAGTTCTGCAGTGCCTATACACGAGCCGCCATTGCCCCCCAGTGAAAATGGTGAACAATGAAGTCACCTAATAACAGAAGAGGTGGCAGTAAGGAATAAACCAAAAATGCAACATCTGGAATAGATAATGCTTGAAGAGAGAGATACAAAGAACAGACTGTAAACTACTTGTTTAGGTAGATGTGGGCTGCAGTGTAATGCAGCAAAGTATGAACAAAGATCTGATGGTATGGTATACTGATGCATACAAAAAGTGCATTTTTATTAAAAGTTCCATCAGAAAAAGTATCCAATGAATGCAATAAAATATTGCCCAAGACGAAATAGATAACATCGGAGCATAATTTAGGGTCTTGTAAACAGACACAAATAGGGAAAAACTGGGAGAGCAACACCTGCAGCTCACCCTGAGTACCCAAGGCCTCACATATTCCACTGTAAGTAAGTCATGATTTGTGAAGAGAAATATACTGGTAACATGAAGCAGTAGGTATCTACAGACTAGGAGGGTTAGTAAAGTCTACATGTGGAGGTAGTGGAAAATGAGTAAGCAGCAAAGGATTGGAACCCTGCAAAGAGAGAGAGAGAGAGAGAGAGAGAGAGAGAGAGAGAGAGAGAGAGAGAGATGAGAGAGAGAGAGAGAGAGAGAGAGAGAGTGAGAGAGAGAGAGTAGAGAAGTGAGAGAGATGAGAGGAGTAGAGAGAGAGTGAGAGAGAGTGAGAGAGAGAGAGAGAGAGGAGAGAGAGAGAGAGAGAGAGAGAGAGAGGAGAGTAGAGGAGAGGAGAGTGAGGAGAGAGGAGAGAGAGAGAGAGAGTGAGAGAGAGAGGAGAGTGAGAGAGAGAGGAGAGAGAGAGAGAGAGTGAGAGAGAGTGAGAGAGAGAGAGTGAGAGAGAGTGAGAGAGAGAGAGGAGAGAGAGAGAGAGAGAGAGAGAGAGAGAGAGAGTGAGGAGAGAGAGAGAGAGGAGAGAGAGAGAGAGGAGAGAGAGAGAGGAGAGAGAGAGAGAGAGAGTGAGAGAGTGAGAGTGAGGAGTGAGAGATGAGAGTGAAGAGAGAGAGAGAAGAGAGTGGAGAGAGGAGAGAGAGAGTGAGAGAGTGAGGAGAGAGAGGAGTGAGTGAGTGAGTGATGAGTGAGTGAGGAGTAGTGAGAGAGTGAGAGAGTGAGTGAGTAGAGAGAGTGAGAGTGAGAGTGAGTGAGAGTGAGTGAGTGAGAGTGATGTAGAGTGAGTGAGTGAGTGAGTGAGAGTGAGAGTGAGAGATGAGGTAGTAGAGGTTGAGAGAGTGAGAGAGAGTGATGGGAGGTGGATCAGTGACTGTCATTGGTTTGATCCCAGTATATATTAGAGATAGTTCAAGAGTTTAAGAGTGAAGTGAATTGAAGGTTAGTACGACATCAGATGATAGAGTGAGGGAGGGAGTCAAATGATCGGATGCAGTGACGATCAGCTGGAAAGAACAAGCAATTTGAAGAGAATCATTAGCTTGCAATCCTTAGTTTTCAAGGTTCTCATTATCCATCCTATCATTTTCCTAGCATTACGTACTGTGATCTCTGAAAGTGAGATTCTCTGACATTATCACACTCAGGGCCTTCACATTAGTTTTATGCTCTATTGTGTGATTGGAATTTATTTTATACTCCAATCCAGTTTTTATCTAGAGTTTTGCATAGCGGAGTAGCTGAAATTTGTCTTCACTGAATTTCACGTTGTTTTCTGAGGCCAATTTAAAGACTTGGTTAATGTCCATGTGGAGATTTGCAGTGTCCTCAATGGATGACACTGTCATGCATATTCTGGTATCCTTGAAGTTACAGCAACCCTTCCCCTTTCCCCCCCGATCACAAGAGGTTGAGTACTATCCTTCACTTTCATTCATTATTATTCAGGGGAAGCACTAAACCCATAGGGGCCCCACCATGCATGTGAAACAGGAGGCAATCATCCAAGGAAGAGGATGACAAGTTCAGTTCCTTGCATCAAAATATCAGCATCAAGGAATTTTCCTTGAGAAATAGCTTTCTCTCAGCCTTGTGTGGTCTTGAATACAATAAGAAAGATCAATGTTAGTAACAGTGAGGAGATTATTACATTCACGAGGGAGCATTAAACTCATACGGGTCATACAGTAATGGAAGGCATTTAGGAATTGAGTACAGGTCCAATTCCTTACCGTAAGAGCCTCACACCAGCATCAGTGAAAACACTTTAGTGTTCTTTAATTCTGTCAGAAAAGGAGTGGCCAATAAATCAAAGTACTGAAGAAGGCAAGGCCAAGAAATTGGAGTATGAATGAGACTGATTTGATGTCTATTAGTCTGATGAAACGTTTAATATCCAAAGGTTGCCATATGTATATTGTCATACTTTTGTGGTTTTTTAACAGTTGCTTTTTTGTAATACCTCTGGTATTATGTAAAGTCTGAGAATCGTGCAGATCACAAATTAGAAAAAAGCCAGGTCCGTGGTTGGAGACGAGCAGCTGCTTGGTGTCTGTAAGAATGGAAGCTGGAACCTCATTGGAACTAGCTTCAGAGGATGGATAGGCATCAGAGGTTGGTTCTTCAGTCTCGAGACAGTCCATCACTGTGTTGGAGTCCACAAGGACATCTGTTACCACACAACCCAGGAGAGGGCTGTAGATGATCACAAAACATACAACACTTGAAAAAGCCTTCATAGTATGCTCATCATTATTATAATCCAAACTAAGAACTAAATCCACAAGGGTCATCCTGCAAGGCAGGATGTGCTAAAGATGAAATATGTGAAGATCAGAGATTAGCAAGGATAAGAAGTATGCAAGAGGCAAAATCAGTAAAAGTAGTGGTGAGCACTAAAGGGAAAATATAATCAGAATTGGTGTATTAAGGCTGTCACTTACAAAAAGTAGAGAGGGACTCTGTGCCAAAAGTAGGGCTGTTGACGAGGTCAGAAAAAGTTAAGTGTTAGAGTGGTGATGACACCGGAGGTAAATTCTGCATATCTGCTGATAGACAAGACAGAATTAGTAGATGGCAAACTGATAATGGAACTTGACAATACATTTTTTCAATGATTTTCTCTGGGTTATCCTTGGTAATTTACACATGTTACTGTGTATGATAATTGTACTTATGTACCTAAATCAGCTTACACAGTGGTGCTGGGTGCTTCTCCATGACATACCCATGAGTGAGACCTGTGTCTGACAGTTAAGGTGGGAGAGTGTAGTCTTCTAGGATGCTCAAGTATAGAACCATCAATAATAATAATATTAGTCAAACTAGGCACTAAACCCAAGGTGAAAGCATCAAGATATGCAAAATCTCTTGGTAGTCCACACCTTGGATTTTTTATCCCCCTCCAACATACACTATGCCTAAGGTTTGAGTATTTGGAGGTACAGCTTCCCTCATCAATGTTGCTCTCTGGGAGAGGCAGATGAGGATAAGGAAGAAAAACCTGAAAAAGACAGTTAACATAGCAGATGTTATGCAAGCAATTTCACGTTATAGGTAAAGCTGTGTAATTTCTCACCGAAAAGGATCTTGACATGTCTAGAAGCACTGGTCTGAAGAGGACTTTCGGAGTAAGCAATGATGTCTTATTGCCAGCTGCATTAAGTATTGCAGGGTAAAACAGGCAGGACACATTACAGAAGATTTGAGCACTCCAGTACAACCATCAGCTACTAACATCTCTGCATCTACATCAATACAAGCACCACAGCCATCCACCTCAGCCTGGTACTAACACATCAACCCTCTTCACACATGCCCATGTTAAGCAACGACAACTGGAATGTAAAGGAAGATATACTGCATTAATATGTATATAGTAGAACATTTACAAAAATTGGTTGGCAAATCTAGAGGTAAATGGAATGCAACCCTTTTTTTGCCTATGTTCCTCGCTTCACATTAAGCTCATTTTTTATAAAGCAATGATTTTCAGGAACATTATCACCTGCATTTTGAGAGGATTTACTGTATATACATTATTACACATATTTATTTTTTATCAACACATTGGCCATTTCCCACCAAGGCAGGGTGGCCCCCCAAAAAAAAACTTTCATCATTCACTCCATCACTGTCTTGCCAGAGGCATGCTTACACTACAGTTATAAAACTGCAACATTAACACCCCCACTGTACTTCCCATCTCCAGGAATCAAGTCTGGCCTGCTGGTTTCCCCGACTCCCTTCATAAATATTATCTTGTTCACACTCCAACAGCACGTCAAGTCCTAAAAACCATTTGTCTCCATTTGCTCCTATCTAACACGCTCATGTACACTTGCTGGAGGTCCAAGCCAACTAAGAAAAAAGTTTGAGGGTTGATATTTTCTGAATTTTTTAAATAAATTTTCTTTTAGAAAACTATTTTAATAGCACATAAGCAATACACCAATTCTAGTACATACAATTTTCAGTTATAATATATTAATATACTGTACATATATATATATATGTATATAAATAATTCTAATAATACAGGATTAAGAAAGGCCATATACCTTTCCAATTGAAGCCAACACATTTAATTTTGACTTAATCATGATATACATACAATGTTATCATATCCACTAAATAAGTTTCATGTACAAACCTTGACACCAAAAATAAAAACTGGAGTGCAAGGAGTATTTTTTACAAAATAACAAAACTTGTAAAATTAAATTAATATTTACACTACAGAACTAAATAATAAAGAATTATTATATTCACAAAAAAGCCCTAAACTAATATGGGTCATAGAGCATTACACAATGTAATACATGAGATCTTAAGGGATGACACACGAGGTTTGGTACATCAACTTTGTGGTTGTTCGAGACTAATGAACACGCTGCACCTCATCATGACAATATCATCCTGACAGTCTTGAAAAAACATGGCACATATTTTTGTTACAACCTGCATTTTTCGTTATTACCAATTCTCATTACAAATGGTAGCAATAATAATAAAATAATGAAAAAACCCTTATAGTCATCTCCATCATGTTTTGCTGGCTACACTAAATTTCTGAAACATTAAAATAAATCTTTCATCATCAATCCTTTCATTGAGCAAGATAATCTTTGGATAAAAATACTCTTGATATAGAAAAGTTGGGTACTAAATAAACTACTTATTAATTGACATAGGTCAATTTAATACTGTATACTATTTTACCATACCAATAAAAAAGTAATAAATTTTAGTTTACATAAAACTGCCACAATTGTTTATTGTCCCTACTGCATGAGTTAGGTGCTACTTAAAGTACCTCACCTTAGTCAATCTTCAGCCATACACCAATGAAAAATCAAAGAGAACAAACTGAACGTGAATGTGGTAAAATATAGTTCATCTGGGACATGGAGGGTAGAATACATCATGCTTATTAGATTCACTCACAATGGTTACACTATAGTGAAGTTGAAATACTTTAACAGTGGTTTACAATAAGATTATCACAACCATCATTGAAAGGGGCACTGAGTGGGTAGCATTCTGGCATCAGCACATGGCTGCAACACTCTTTGTTCACTCCTTATCTGGGGCTGCAATGAGGAGGAGTGGAGGGATTTCAGAACACACACTGTAGTTAACTTGCAACTTTTGTGTTTACAGCTGAGAACAGAATTATTGAAATTTCCATCAAAAGGCATAATTTATAGTGCCTCTCTTTCGCAGTCTGCATTAGCACATCACCTGTTGGACTTCGGATATGGTTTCTGTAGCATCAGGATTTTTTAGGGGTCCATCTCCCCTATCTCATCTCAGCTATCTTGATAGAGGACAATTGGGAAGTCTACGTGGAGACATGGAAATGGTAGTCGTACTTCACCCTGTGAATTTAAAGATGTAACAGTGAGTGACTTGTGTGTTAACCTCCCTGCAGTATGGATATCCCTGATACTTCCAAAGGGAATGGTGATGACAAGCCTCCAGGCAGCACCATTTTATTATGATATTCTAAAGACCTGCTCAAAATTTATTATACTGTATCTTTCTATGTGTAATCTTTCACATTCTATGGAGTATTGAATGTCAAACATTCATTTAAATTATCCATATACATACTGTACCTCATCTTGCACCTTTCCTCATTCATATACACACATTACAGAGCAAGGCAGAATATTTTACTGAACCAGGCAAGAAAAAATATCACAGTATACACGAAGTAAGAAAACTTATATTTTCCATACTGTATTATGAAGTACCGAAAGTATAACATTAAAAGAGATGATTATTTTTTAATGGATGCAGGCAGCAACCCATCTAAAGACATGCAGATGCTGTTTAGCATACAGAAACTTCCAGACCTAAAGCTCTTGATACAGCCTAGAATTTTAATGGGCAAATTCCCTAGACTAAGCAAGATTTTAGTAAAAAAAAAAAAAACTAAATAAATTTTTAGTTTTATCAAAAAAAGTATAGCACATATACTTAATTTGGCAACACTTTGATGTACCTTTCATTTAACTATTTCATTTCTAAGTCATATAATGACCATTTTGTTTTTAATTTATATCATACTCTTATTGTTTAGGTGCATTTGACCTTGCTTTTTTGTGTTTTTGTTATACTTGTCAAGAACATCTAATGGTATCATCTGGCAACATCCTATCTCACAACAGAGGGCAGCCACCCCATACATTTACTATTTTATTGTCAACTGGAGAAGCAGCAAATTGCTCTCTGACAGACTATACCCTATCTGACCCATGTGTGTGTGCTATATATGAAAAATAGATTGTCTTTCTTGTAGGAAGCTGCATCTGAAGAAAATGAAGGACTGTAAGACTAAAAGGAAGGCACAGAATGTGCATTAACATATCTTTTATATGGTATCCCATACAACAAGTACTGTACATGGATGACTTTACAATAAAACAAGAGAATCATGTGAAACAATGAAAAATAAAACTGCCTAAGAACATAAAAGTTGACAACTTCTACAAAGCTGGAGCCTGCTAGACTGCAGTGACGTCTTCAAAAAAAAAATAATAATAAAAAATATGGGGTGTACGTCATTTACGTCAAATGTTAGTTATCAGCTAATAAACTACTCATAATGATGTGCAAGAATAGCATATAATGCCGACAAGATGAAATTAAGACACATGTGCAACATCTGGGTATCTTTATTGTAGACGTTTCGCCATCCAGTGGCTTTATCAATACAAATTCCAGGGACTGATTACCTCATCTTCTGTATATAGTCCTACTGTCTTCAAGTTATGTCCTGGAATTTGTATTGATAAAGCCACTGGATGGCGAAATGTCTACAATAAAGATACCCAGATGTTGCACATGTGTCTTAATTTCATCTTGTCAGTATTATATACCATTCTTGCACAACTTGTCAGACACTGCAACATCATGGAATCTTGATTCTGAGGACATGTACATAACCTTCACGACTACGACAACTACAACTAACCCATCTCTTTGGGAACGACCTACTTCCACTGGGGAATCTCGCCTACCAGTGACTATGCCCTCGTCTGCTACACCTGATGTTAGTAGATAAGTGCCAGGTTCCTTGCTTCTGCTTCAGAATCTCCACGACTACGGTGCTCTTCGCACCTACTCCTAGGTTGAGGGACTGATTACCTCATCTTCTGTATATAGTCCTACTGTCTTCAAGTTATGTCCTGGAATTTGTATTGATAAAGCCACTGGATGGCGAAACGTCTACAATAAAGATACCCAGATGTTGCACATGTGTCTTAATTACTCAAAATGATTTTTAACACATTATAAACTTTCCATTGATTTACAGTGACCAAAAACAAAATGTGATTCTAGTGTCCCCTTACGTATTGTTTTTTATATTTTTTTTTAACACACTGGCCCATATCCCACTGAGGCAAGTGACCTAAAAAGAAAAATGAAAGATTTTCTTTTTCAATTAAGTAATTTATACAGGCAAAAGGGTTACTAGCCCCTTGCTCCTGGCATTTGTTTTATATTTCTTTTCTATTATTTAAGTACTTAAAAAACGAGGGGTAAAACTATGCATTAATATAAAGAAGTTCATTATAAATTTATACTGGTTTGTATAATCATGCTGACATAATTACACCACTTTTAGCAATAAACAATCAACATCTTTTGATGTAAAAGGGTGGACATAGTTTAATTTTTTCATTTTTATATTTTTACTTTTTTTAGGGGATCTACATGAAACTTCTCGAGCATACTACACTCAAATCTTACTTTCAATAAAAATTTCATTAAACTCTTGACTTCTAGTTTCCAACCTCACTCAGTCTTGGAAATGGCCCTCTTAAGGCTGTATTGGTGCTTAATAAAAAAGATTAAAAATATATACTCTTACAGTTTGAGAGAGCACAAGCTAAGATGCTCATTATTAAATTCACAAGGGAGCACTAAAAGCAGAAAGGTTATATAGAACCTAAGGAATGGGAGAGGGAAGGGGTTATCAGGTGTTCCCAACTCCCTAGATCAAGAGCTCTTCACCAGTATCAAGGCACCTTTCTTGAAAGGCTAAGATGGTGTGATAACTTGATGAATATCGAATTACTTTATTTCAAAACCTGTATAAAGGTTATGCTAAGATGACTGAGGCTAGTTTGGTAGCCTTGGTTCTAGAGACATATAGGCAAATATTTATAACTTAAAAACTATTATATTTGTGTACGAGTGTGAAAAATACATATATATTTACGGGTTTTCTTGCTTATGTGGTAACCTTTCATGCAAATTTTGATTTTATGTGGCAACCTTATTGCCCATTTCTACCAATAAGTCACTGTGTGTGTTATAAATTTACTCTGATACAATGGGAGTGGGTCGAGCTGTTTTGCATGGGGGTTGGTGGGAGACAAAATTTGCTATCAAAACAACATATACATTCCTTCATTATTTACTGCAATGTGCACATCTCAGTTTCTCTAGAAGACTTTCCATGTATCTGTAGTTGGAAGGTCCATCACTTTCTCAGCATCCTACTGAACTGTCTCCTAGTCCTGTCCATGACTCATCAAAGAAGTGCAAGAGGATGTCACTAACAATAAAGCTGAAGATTTTTAATAATTACAATGCTGGTAAGGGGCCATTTGTGCTTGGATGCACATTCAAATGTGAACACGTCAACCATCTGCAATATCAAAAAATGCTGGAGACAATGGCAAGATGCTGACAGTTAAAAAAGAAATGCAGTCCTTTATTCTTATAACATTTCACCCAACACTGGGCTTAGTCAAGTACACAGGAGATTTAAGACAATGGCTTATATCTCACATGCAAATAATGCTACTTGTGCACTGTCAGTGGCCTACTGGCCCATGTTCAGTTTAACATATGTGCTATTGGTCTGTTTAATGGTGATAGTGCAATAGCCAATGATTCTAACCATCTCAACTTGTCATGCTCCATGTACAGTAGTTTAGCTTTGTCCCATGCCATGAGAAGTGAATGCTAGTAATGCTATATGCAGGTGAAATTGGTGTTGCCTGTTCTAAGAGCATACTTATGCTTCTATAGGCATTCTAGTAGATCTCTAGCTGTGTTGCTAATATGTATATACTTGGTGCATACATTGGCGAGACAGCCAGAGGTTCCTGCATTGTTATATTACATTGAGGGCTGACCGTACTATACCTATTAATGGATTCATAAACACAATATAAAACTGCAGTGGTGAGGTGTTAATGCCCAATAACATTATTTTTTTGACATGCAAGATATCCAGGTGATACATCAACTGTACAATGCAGATGGAGTTTTATTAAAGGAGTGCAGTAAGTATCTTGCTTATAGCAAAGAAAAATTCATATTTGTTCTGAAAGAACATGTTATTGTGTCATTTGTGTGATTATGCTGCTGGCACACAAGTGTAAACTGCTAAATTATTAGAAAAAGTGCTGGATCATGTCCATTAAAGGGCATTTAAGTACAATACACCAAACTTATTAATGGGCTAATAAAGATACTTAGATTAGAGGTATTACCAGCAATTAGTTTAAGAACCATTTTGTAAAAGGTGTGCTCCCTAAAGAATGCAAGACTGTGTTGCTCACCTGCCTATGAGAGGATTTGAAGCCATCAATCTACACAGCAGCAGTAGCAGAATGTGATTGGAAATGATAAAGGAAGAATAAGGATGAGTCTAAACCAGAGAAGTGAGATTTTGAAGATAGGTGGGGGGTAAAGGGCAGATATAGGCCACAGGGACTTCAAAAGGTAGGAATAAGGGATTTTATGAGGCTTGTTGGCCTAGATTGAGGGAAGATTGAATACATATAAATAGCTTTACTTATATTTTGTTATAACAGGTAATCAGGTTTGATCCATGGAGGCAGAGTGTAGCTCCAAGTCATAGGATCAAAAGCCCATGACCAGCTTTAAGTCACCCCTCTTGAAGGGTCATGTATGGTATAACTATACTGCATACATATGGTATAGGTACTGTATTTTCCAATGCATGAATGTGCATGTAAAAAACTCTACAGTGTTTTCACCCCAGAGGGTTATGAATCAATAGCAACTGGCAAGGCACAAAGTAAAGAAATATTTTTTTGACAGCATTATGCCAAGGTGCTCACCCGACAATGTTGTGACTAGCACTATACATGTTAAGGGTTTTTTTTTTTTTTTTTTTTTTTTTTACAAACTGGCTAAGAAATGTGGATGTAATTTCCGGTATTCCCAATGAATTAAATATTTCCCCTTCCTTCGTACATATTTGCTGTAAGGAAATTCATTTATATGTGGCAACCTTATTTCTACCAGGAATTCACTATATGTGGCAAAAAATCACTGTTATGCAATCAGAGCAGGCGGTCGCTGTGCATTTATGTAATAGAAAGGGGTGGCGTTGTGTGCTTTACATGAGGCATTGTGAAGTGATGACAAGCCACCAAAACACAACAATTTCACACTGTTTACATCATCATTTGTATCTTGGCATCTAACATACTGAAACTTATTTATCCAAGCCCCTCTTAGGATGGGTAACTAAGCCATTACAATATAATTAAGTGCCTTACACAGGCCAAAAAAAAGTGTCTATAGAAAATCACATAGCTTTGATATAATTAAGTGTCTTTTACATCAAAGTGCAATACATATGGTAGGTGTAATACAAATATATTATCATACTTAAATATGCAAACAGCCATTTATAATTTCTAAAAGCCACAAATCTGCTGACATTTCTGTTTTTAAAAGTACAGTGGAACCTCAAATATCGAACTGCTCCCAACTCAACCAATTATGTAAGTGTATTTTTGTAAGTGCTTTTATAAGTGTATTTTTGAAGATCTGAAATGAACTAATTTAATTTACATTATTCCTGATGAGAATAAATTTGTTCGGTAACGGCACTCGAACAGCCGTCTGGAACAAAGAAAGTTCGATATTTGAGGTTCCACTGTATTTGTTAAAATTTCAATTTTCATTTGATGTAGTAATTATGATTTGTAAAACATACTACACACAAGAATTAAAATTCACCAACCTGCGGAGTAAGATTTGTAAGTATTCTTCTCATCGTTGCTTTCACGCCCCGACGCAAAGGTGGAATTTCCTCGTAAAATTCATGAGCCACATCGCCATCCTCATCAAAATACATAGACCTGAAAGATGTGCTTCTCTTACATATAGGGCCACTCCCATACTGACAAATTTGCAACATAAAATAATAAATAGGAAGATAAGATTAGCTTTAATTTAGAAAATCTACATATACTTTACAGACAGTAAAAGTTTGTACAATGGTTGTGAGGGCACACACTGATGTCTTAGGAAAAACAATGATGCATTACATAAATTTAATCTAAGTTAACCAAACAGTCAGTATGACTTATTTCCACTGGGTAGAATCGTACCTGATGAGGTGTCAAGTGTTTCCTCTCAATTCTTAGTACAGGAAGGCCCTGCTCTACAGTGTTTTGCTTTACAGTGTTTTGCTAATGCAGCAGATTTCAGGTATACCCAGTCTTCATTTATTCAGACTTCCTACAATAGAATCACCACTCGCTATAAACTGAGGATGAAAATATTTTAAAGTAATGTATGCACCGTATCTGCATTTTTTAGGCCTAGCTACATTGCTCATTTAATGTATGACAGTGTAAACATGTTATCAGGGTTTTATGTGCATTTGAAAGTGAAAATGGGCTATGATTCACTTTAGAGCAATTCTCGCCTTACAGAACTAGCCCAGAACTTAACTTACTGTATAAGCAGAGCCGTTCTGTACTATAATAGTACAGACTGTTGTTTACTAGACTGGCAAGGAACATTATCAGAGTTTTGTCTTTACATATTCCTTGGTTATAATTAAAGAATAATTCTGAAAAATTAATAAGTTAGTTAGTTAATAGTAACTGGCTTAGATTAGTCAAGAGACCTAGGGATAAAATTTCAATAATGCTCCATGAATTTAATGCATTCAACAAATTTTATTAACAAGAAATGTTAGGTAATGAATATTTTTAAGTTATTTTCATTCCATTCTCTTCCAACTGTTAAAATATACTGTGTTGACAGCAACCTTATTCACAATATACCTATATCAAGGGTATTTAATACCGAGATGAATAAAACAAATAAGCAAAGTGAAAATAAATTAAACAAGTGTTTATGTTTAGGAACTGGCTACTGGTCCACTAGCCTCGGTCAATTATATCTAGGGTGAAGTGCTAAACCCGTAGAGGTCACACAGTGCTTTGGGAATGGGAAGGGAAGGTAGAGTTTATTTCTTTATCAAGAGCCCTCTTACCAACATCAAGGAACCTCCCTCGTGGGTCAAGGGTCACACAGCACCCTGAGAAGTACAAGTTGATCAAGTTTGATTCACAGAAGACAAGGGTAACCCTAATTCCAAGACTCAAGAGCTCTTCACCAGCATCAAGACACCCCCTCTGAAGAGTCAGGCTTCGAAATTTCCAGACTAAGTGACACTACTCACCCTCTACGAGTGTAGACGAACGGTGTGGCCAGCTTCTTGACGGGTCTCTGGCACTGTTCTGTGCCATCCACACCATTGCTCATCCACCGCTTCAGTTTGGAGGTGCTACCGCCCATATTTCTCCGGAAAAAAAAGTGGTTAGTTAGTGGATAACAAGATGTGTAAGTGTGCTAGTGCGTGGAGTGTGTCACTACTCAATGTTTTCCTTCAACAGCTGATCCTCAGAGTGGTCCCCGCGCACGCGCACCTCCTCTCCATTATGCATGATAACTCTTATCTCCCACGATGATGCATTATTCACAATAGTAGGTTAATGGGGTATTTTTTTTAGTTTTCTTACAAGGAAGAGGACATGGTTATGCATGGAGTAATGGTTAGTGCTCTGGTTCACAAGAGAGGTGACGGGGGTCGAGCCCTACACCAGGAGGGACTGAGGGGCGACTCTCCTAGCACTGAGATTCAGTCCCAGGAAAGAGGCAAAGAGATTCAGTCCCAGGAAAGAGAAGTTAGTTCCAATTCTATGGATCAAGAGCCCTTCTCTGGCATCAAGGCACCTTCCTTGAACCCCTCAAGGAAGGTTCCTTGATGTTGGTGAGGGGCTCTTGATTTAGGGAATTGGATCTGTGCTCCAGTTCCCCAAATTAAGCCTGAATGCCTTCCACATCCCCCCCCAGGCGCTGTATAATCCTCCGGGTTTAGCGCTTCCCCCTTGATTATAATAATAATAATAATAAAACCTTCCTTGAAGGGACGTAATATACCCATGTTCTTCTAGTATTCTTGAGGTATATCCAGGACACACAGATATAATAGGCACATAAATTTCATTTGGTATATTTCTTTATTCAGTTTATCGTAAACAAATTTATATTTGGATTTAGGTTAAGGCAGGTTGTATCTAGGTTTTCTCAAGTTAATTAAAATTTTATTTAGGTATAGGGTACGTTCTACTGTTCAAAACAAGCACCAACCCGTATGGGTTATGCAACACATAGGGGTGGGACTTATATAAGGAAGTTAGCTAGGGTGAGTTGGAACTTCCGGTGAGATCAGTGACTGCATCAGAACTCACAGGGAAGTTAGAGCTAGTGTATCGGGACTTTCAGTAAGGAGGTCGGTTAGAGTGATTACATCAGGTCTTTCAGCGAGGTCTAGTTAGTGCATCCGAACTTCCAACGAGATCAGGCAATGAGTGCATTAGGATTTTCAGCTGGGTCAGTGAGTCCGTCAGGACTTGCAGCGAGGTCAGTGAGTGCATCAGGACTTTCAGCGAGGTCAGTAAGTGCATCAGGACTTTCAGCGAGGTCAGTGAGTGCATCAGGACTTTCAGCGAGGTCAGTAAGTGCATCAGGACTTTCAGCGAGGTCAGTAAGTGCATAAGGAGTTTCAGCGAGGTCAATAAGTGCATAAGGACTTTCAGCGAGGTCAGTAAATGCATAAGGACTTTCATAGAATTAAACGAAGAACTGAACCCTGGATGACTACTGAGATATTAGATAATATGAAATTCAGAGACCAGCTGCTAAAAAGATTTAAAGCAAACAGACAGGATATTGCAGCACTAAATGAATTCCAAAGGGTGAGGAACAGAGTACAGAGACTTATAAAAGGAGCAAAGGCAAAGCACTATTGCTCAAAAATTGAAGAGTATAAGCATAACCCCAGAAAGCTCTGGCAACAACTAAAACAGTTGGGGTATAGCCATAAGCCAGTAGATAGGTCTAACATAGTACTCACTATCGATAATGAGGTATGCCACGAAACATCTAAGGTGGCAAATTGCTTTAATTCCTACTACACATCTGTTGCATCAACACTAGCAAGTAAACTACCAGCTGCATCAAATACCTTTAACACAGACTGATAAGTTTCAAACATACTATACCAATAAAGGGGTAACCCCAAACAGTTGTCAACTAGTAAGTGTATCTCATGACTTTATTCAAAAAGAACTAAGCAGGTTAAACCCAACTAAGAGCACAGGCCCTGATAACATCCCGTCTAAGTTCCTAAAAGATGGTGCTTCTGAACTGTCATTCCCTATTTCTCACATAATAAATCTATCAGTCACAACTAATACCGTACCGGAGGGGTTCAAGGAGGCCAGAGTCACTCCTATCTTCAAGAAAAATAGTAGGTCTGATGTAAGCAACTATAGGCCTGTTAGTATACTCAGTATAATATCCAAAATTCTAGAGAGGGCGTTGTACTCTCAAGTAAAGTACCTTAATGACAACAACATTCTCCATAGCTATCAATCGGGCTTTAGAAGATCTTACTCAACCGACACCTCCCTAATTAATCTGATGGATTACCTGAGAACTGAAATGTCAAAGGGAAACCTCATAGGTATGGTAACCTTAGACCTGCAAAAGGCCTTCGATACTGTCAACCACAATATGTTATGTACGAAACTTCAAGCTATCGGTATAGGTTCTGTAGACTGGTTTAAGTCCTACCTTAGCAACAGGAGACAAATTGTCAAAATCAACAAAACGGAATCAGAACCCCTGCCGATAACATGTGGAGTTCCCCAAGGTAGTATTCTGGGTCCCTTATTATTCTTGTTATGTCAATGACATGCCTATCAGTGTCAAGTGCAAACTCTTACTGTATGCAGATGACAGTGCCCTGTTAGTGTCAGGTACAGACCCACAAGATATAGCTAATGTTTTAACACTGGAACTGGAGTCCTGCAGCAAATGGTTAGTAGACAACAAACTATCATTACAAATCGGGAAAACTGAAGCCATTCTCTTTGGCACGAAACATAAACTGAGAAGGGTAAATAATTTTAATGTCCAGTGTAATGGGGGGCCCATCACTTTGGTTTCATCAGTAAAATACCTGGGCCCGGTGGCCTGGTGGCTAAAGCTCCCGCTTCACACACGGAGGGCCCGGGTTCGATTCCCGGCGGGTGGAAACATTTCGACACGTTTCCTTACAACTGTTGTCCTGTTCACCTAGCAGCAAATAGGTACCTGGGTGTTAGTCGACTGGTGTGGGTCGCATCCTGGGGGACAAGGTTAAGGACCCCAATGGAAATAAGTTAGACAGTCCTCGATGACGCACTGACTTTCTTGGGTTATCCTGGGTGGCTAACCCTCCGGGGTTAAAAATCCGAAAAAAATCTTATCTTATCTTAATCCCCTTTGACCCATGCATGTCAGGAGAATCGATAGGGAACAGTGTAGTAAAGAAAGCGAATGCCAGACTGAAGTTCCTGTATAGACAAGCACAGTGTCTACCTACTGAGGCTCGCAGGACCCTATGCCTAGCCCTTATACAATGCCATATGGATTACGCTTGCTCTTCATGGTACTCTGCCTTGACAAAAAACTGAAAGATAGGCTGCAAATCACCCAGAACAAAATCGTAAGATTCATCCTGGGGCTGGGACCAAGAGAACATGTAGGCCAGGATGAATTACAGCAGTTGGATATGCTGAATGTTGAAGACAGAGTAAAACAACTGAAGCTAAATCATGTTTATAAAATTGCTCACAAACAGTGTCCAGAATATCTTGCTGTCAATTTTGTCAAGGTTGGGAACCAAAGCAATCATAGTACTAGGGGGAGAGAGCACAACTTTGTAGTACCCACAGTCATTGGCCAGGCTTCAAACACCTTTTATTGTACAACAATAAAGGAATGGAACAGACTACCCGCAAATGTCAAAGCCAGTCATAGCATGAACCAGTTCAAGAAGAGTGCCAAAAGGTGTCTGATGAATGCAGCTACAGAAAGGGAGGGGAATGATTTTCTATTTTTTAGCTAACATACGTGTAAATTTTACCTTATTCCTAGTAATGACCCTAGTATTGTAGATAGTCTTAATGACCCTCGTGTAGTAGATAGTCTTTTCAGTATGATAATAAGATGTTATCTTCATTATAGAATAACAAGAAAATATTATAACCTTTATATTATATTAATAAGGTAAAAGGACCCCAATGGAAATAAGTCACTCTGTCTGACTTTTTTGGGTTATCCCAGGTTCTCTACACATATGCTGCTATGTATGATAATTCTATGTAACTGTATTTGTGTATACCTGAATAAACTTACTTGCTAATCGAAGTCAGTGAGTGCATCAGGACTTTCAGCGAGGTCAGTAAGTGCATAAAGACATTCATCGAGGTCAGTGAGTGCATCAGGACTTTCAGCGAGGTCAGGAAGTGCATAAGGACTTTCGACGAAGCAAGTTAATATAAAAAACGTTAAAGATGTGGAAAGTTAACTTTGTGTGCTCTCTGATAGATAGTGCGGTCTATTTATTTCTAATGAAATGGAAAAAATGGTCTGGTGATACCGACAAGATGTGGAAAAAGAAACATATGTACAGCTCAGGACATTTATTAGGGGAAAAGTTACTCAAGTAAATGTCCTAAACTGTACATAAGTGTCTTTTACCACATATAGTGAATTGTTAGTGGTCTCTGGCAGGAGACACAGAGAGGGACGGGCATCTTTCCATAAGAACATAAGGAGCAACACTGCAGCAGGCCTACTGGACCATACTAGGCAGGTCCCTCTTAAACCCAAACCTAACAATAAAAATATATGCCCAACCAATTTTCAATGCTACCCCAGAAATAATAAGCTTTGGTAACCATGTTAACTCTTGTGCAGTGTGTACTGTATACACATAACATTATATATAATATGTATATATTTATATGTATATAATATAATATATATATATATATATATAATATATATATATATATATATATATATTATATATATATTAATATATATATATATATATATATTGTGTAGCTTCAATTTTTTGGATCAAGAGCTCTTCGCCAGTGCCACAGCATCTCTCTTGAGGGAACTAAGGCAGGTGGGGGAAATGCTAAACCCATAAGAGTTATATAGCATCTGAAGTGAAGGAATGAGCAGCGCCCATTCCTTGGATCAAGAGTTCTTTTCTGGTATCAAAGTACCCCATCCTCCCTTTCAAAGATAGGAATATCATTATTACATTGTAGACACAGAAAAGTGCTGAACCCACACGAGTCGAAATATTCAGCACTTGAAGTGGAACAGAGATGAATGTCAAGGAGTTGAACACTTGGAAGTATGGGTAGGTTAGGTTAGGTTAGGTCAGGTTCGTCAGGAAAGAGGACAAGTGTTCCTTGACGCGGTTCTTAAGTCATGTGATGACCCGCCCGCAGCTGGAGCTTTTAATCATCTGACCGAGGCCTTCCGCTGGCTGACCTTTCCCCCCCCCATCCTTGGTTATGATT